ACGTGTTTGCTAAGGTCAGAGCATCTCCCAAATGCCAAGAAGCAACAGGGCAGAACTTCTCCAATCTGCTCTACTGGCCGTTATTGGAAAGTCCATTTTAGCATAATCATTTCTTTATATATTGGTTCTTGAAAGAGGAACTTGTATGTTAACCTCTATCTTAATCAGTGCACGAGAGGATGGGGTCGTGGGGCGCGGGGGGCGGGGGGTGGAGGTGGGCTTTCTTTCTCTTCTCTGGTTCGTAAATTCAAATCTCATGGTACAAATGGGAGAACAGAGATCATTGAACCTGAAATGAAATGAATTGAATTATATTCCTTTACAGTAACTCCAACAGCCTCAATGGTGAAAAGTGAATACAGCAATAGTTTTAGCATTTATTATTTTGCCAGTTGAGCTCCTTATCATCAGAAGTAAACCTGTTGTACAGTAGTCCTCCCTTAACCAGAGGCGACAGGTTCCAAGACCCGCAGTGGACACCTGAAGCCACAGATAGTACTGAACACCATATACTGTGTTGTTTCCTATACATGCATACCTATCATTAGTTTAATTTATGAATTAGATTCAGTAAGAACAATTATTTATAATAAAATAGAACAGTTATAATAATATACTTTAATAAAAAAAACTATATGAATATGGTCTCTCTCAAAATATCTTACTGTACTGCACTCACCTTTACACTAAAAGGAAGCATTTTCCTGCTCTTTGGCCCCTCCTGATTGCCAGCATCACTGCACTTGCGCTCCGGGCCACCATTAGGTAAAATAAGGGTTACTGGGATGCAAGCACCGTGATACAGTAACTGTCCTGTGGTAACCAAGAGAGCTAAGTGACTGCCGGGTGGGCTGTGTATACAGCGTGCAGATGCTTGACAGAGGGGTGATTCACACCCGAGCGAGATGCAGACGGAGGGTAGGAGGTGCCGTGGTGCTACTCAGCATGGCCTTCAATCTAAAACTTATCAATTGTTTACTTCTAGAATTTTCTATTTAATACTTTCCGGCCACGGTTGACTGCTGGTAACCAAAACTGCAGAAAGCGAAACCATGGATAAGGGGGCAACTGCTGTATTCCCATTCTAAATGCAGGGGATTAAAAGGAGACGTGCCCTTTGTATTCCGGGGTTGGCCTAGGTACACCTTTTTTGTTAAGTATTGAAAATACAACTTAGCAGTTGGGAAATGTCTTTTACTCTGTCCAAAATTATGAAAATGCTTAGTTTATTTTTCAGGAAAAAAAGTCAAACTTCTTAAAGCTGACTCTTTTTAATATTTCTAACTTAGATAAGAGACTGTGTAATTCTATTCAGAAATAGTTATTGCATCACTTTTCTGTTAACCCTAATACAAAATAGTGCTTTAGAATAAGATTTTTTTCTTAGAGCATATTTTATGAACTTAAAGCAGGTTCATGAAAATTAAAATTATATGTGCCATTCATATTTTTCAAAATTATTTGTAATTTTTTATAACAAATGTAAGTATGTAGACTGTTAAGGACCTAATGACCTTTTTGTCGAGTGACGTCCTCACCATTCAGTTATGTGCTATTAATAAACTTAATAATTTCTAAGAAAATGTTAAAATTAACCTTTAAGTATATTTTACTTATTTTTAAATAGTCTGTTTTCAAATTTGTCACACCTGTTTTCAAAAATTGTGTAAATAACTTTAGCAACTCAAGTATGATTCTAAAAGACAATGCTTTTCCTGGATGACACTGTACAGTAGATTATTATGTGACCAGTTATGTTTTTTAGCCTTACTAATAGGTGGCGTAGTGATTCAGTCATTAAAGCAGTCAAAATAACCAGGTGGATTAGTATGCATTTTGATGTTCTTAATAAATGAGTTGGATTATAATGTGGCATTCTGATTTCCTGTGAAGAGTGGACTATAAATATAGACAGACAAAATGAAATTCATGGCCATATATTACATTGTCTCACGTGTTCTTAATGTGATCCTAACTACAAAATGCTTAGGACTTAGTGGCTAATAAATGGGCTTAGTAAATTTGTATATCAGGATATAGTATCTCCGCTGCACACTAAATGCTTTTTATATACATGTACTTAGATATAAACAGTCATATTTAAATATACCTCAACATTTATGTTTAAATCTTAAATTGTGTTCGTATTTTTTCCATCAAAACTATTTTCAGAATTAAAATTACAAAATGAGAGTTGTGGAGCCAATACTTAGAACTAAATTATAGAGCCCCCAAGTTGTTCATGGGTATAGTTGTCTCATCACAAGGGTCAGCTCTGGTTATCTACGTTCTTTAGCATAATTGGTAGTCATTTCCTAACCACGAAGAACACTGATTTACATATTCAGAATCCTGATAAAGAAAACTCAAAACTCCATATATAGCCACAGTTAAGAAAAATCAACTTGCTTCGGGAAATTCTTTCAAGTGCCTATGCTGCAAGGGCTCTGGAGCAACATAAATACATCCTAGTAATTAATGCTGCATGAAAAAAATGCTCTAATTGTACCATATTCCCGTTAATGATATTATACAATTATCAAATGAAGGTGTTTGAGCAGATAGTAGTAAGAAGTCTTTAGGTGTAACTGGAATCAACATCATAAAGCTCCTTACATGAAATGACTGACATCATTTAATAAGAGTTCTCGGAGCATTTTTCTTAACCATTAAATGCAAAAATCAGAAAAACTCGATGCATGTATTGCAAATCTTGAACTTAGGTCATCCCTTGGTTTTACTTTTAAATTTGGGCTAGTTAAAATACCAAATGATCACAGAGTAAGATTGTTTCTAAATTATCAGTTTATAGTTATTTAATATTATTAAAGAAATCAGTATAAGGTTATAAATCAAACAAAACTGCATATGATCCAAACAGGAGTTTGGCATGACTTGTCCTGATACATCACTGTGCCACTGAGCAGGGACTTGTTAGTATTTGTCCTGGACCTGACTTAAGTGTTTCATTGCATCTTTCTCAGAATCCTTTTGTCTGCATATTGGAGCATATGATATTAGAGAAGTGTTTTTAATGTAAAAGGAACTATAATTCTTTTGTTCAGCTCTAATGCTATAGAGAAATTCAGGTTGGTCTTTAGTTTTAGAAAGCTCATAACAAAACAATTCAGAACCATTCTGATTATTCCCTGCTGTCCCACTACCTAGTAATGTACCTACTTACTATGATTTCTACAGAGTAAACATAGAACAGGGTAAGTACATGGCAAATTCCTTTGGAAGGACACTGTCTTTTGATTTATGCCTTTTTCGGTAAGACTTGGGAGGGAACTGGTTAAATAGGACTATTCGTTTCTTTTATTTCTCCTCCTTTACTTTGCTCTGTGTTGCTTTAATCCATAGCTTGATTATGGAACTGTGCCACTCTTTGAACTGGATCTGTCTGGATCATTGATAGGAGTCTTCCTGTGCTTATGGGTACCTCAGCTTCCTTTCCTCACTTAAAGAAAATATTAAATAGAAGGAATTGCATTAGTAATTAAGTTGTGATATAGTTTAAAAGCTATACGGCATTAAAAACCATGTATCAATTATAGGGAAACAGATTGTGGCATTGAAATACATGCTTTCTCCTCACTTAATGACTGCAAGGCTATAATGTTTATCTTTTGGAAGTACTGGTTGCAAATCAGACTGAGACATCGAGGTCCCCAGTGTCTTTGCAAATATGAAATTTTTCTCAGCTGATGATGATCATTTCCTAAATAATGTTATTTTTAATTGACTATGAGAAAGACTATTCTCTAGTTATTAAATTCATATTATAAATTTTTCAAAATGCCATCATTTTAAAACCACTTTCATCTTTAATGATCAAAACTAACCAACTATATTGGTTTATTTTATTCTTTAAATGAGTTTTAAGTGTTCTTTTTTTATTTAATCTTTATTGTATTTTTCCATTACCATTTAAGTGTTCTGTATTACAGAATCCTTAAGAGAAAACATTGTGTTCATTTGCAGATTTGCAACGTGAGACAATACAGTTGTCTCTTTGAGTGCACATACTGATTTCACTATTGTTTATTCCTTTATTTATTATTTATTCTTTGTTCATTCATCTTTGGCACCTACTTTGTCACTTGACACCTACTAAGAGATATGTGAAGACATGTGGCCTCCACTCTTGTAAAGCTCAGAGTCTAGTGGGATTGATCATAAACTTAAAAAAAAAATCACAAATTATGTTAAGTGTTTAGAAAGAAACAAAAATGGTGCTGTGATAGAAAATGAAATGGGAAAATCTATCATCTCTGATATTATCAAGAAACCTCTCTCCATGGATCTCGGGTATTTCAAGATCCAGGAGATAAGGACATAGCCCAATAAGGGGTGTTCTGAGCACAGGGCATGGCATGGCCGAGACCCAGGGGAAGGGCAGGCTGTGATGTGTGGCTGGAGCTGTTAAGGAAGGGGAGAGAGAGACGTGGCGTCGAAACTTGATGAGGGACGTACTTATGCAAAAAGGAGCTGTCTCAGGACTCTGCGGGGCATGGAAAGGATATGCATTATGTTTTAAGTGTTGTGGCAAGCTTTTTGATTGTCTTAAATTGATGAGGGGCCTAATACACTCTTAGCATACCTTATATTACTTTTAAGTTTTTGTTCTTAAAATGATAGGAGAAAATAAAAACAAGATAATAACTATCTTGTGTTAAGCAATGTTTTGTATATTACTTTTCTTCACTTGAAGAGACTAACATTGTGACCTGTAGGACGGCCTTCCAAACCACCTCAAGGTGTCTGGGGAATATTGGGTTTTTCTGTAAAGCCTATAGCGCCCTCTACTGGCAATTATTTTAAGTGAGTCTCACATTGATGCCAAAACTGCTGGAAAGGTGAAATTGTCTCTCCTCTGAGGAGGTAGAATTGTCAAGATAACTAAACTTTAAGCAGATGTGAGAGGGCATCATATATCCCTTTACTTAATGACGTTCAGTATTTCTTTCAATTTCACTGACATGATTGTGTTGACTTAGGTGTACATTCCAAGCCGAGTGGCCCTTGTCCTTCACAATGTGGATATGCCCAACTGAAGAGACCGGATTTCATCCCTTCCAGGAAAAGATGTGTGTTTTGTTTTCCTCTTTTCATTGTCACGTAACTTAAACTGTGTAAGCTTTTCAGAATATAGTGTCTAGCCAAAACTTCAGATGTCTGAAATGCAGTATTGACTTATGCAAATAACTATCAAACTTTTCTTTAAGAAGTAGAGGGGAATTTTCTGAAATTTCAGGGATCTTAGACTATATTTTTCTAATATCTAAGCAGCTAGAATTCCCAAGTGAAGTAATAAATATATACATGTCTTTCAACAAAATTATATAATTATATATAAAAGTTATATATAGATCTTTAAACAAAATTACTTTCCCAGCCAATTACTTGATGGTTTTAAATTGAAATTTGAATCATGTGCTATATACGATTATTTCTGTTGAATGTATCCAGTATTTTTTTAAGATAGGTATTTGGTGATTTTATTTGTTCTAATACCTCTTGGTCTAACTTGGGAGGTACCAAGATTGTTACTATGTTTTTTCAAACTAACTTCAGAGATAATGTAATAAACATGTAACAATAATATAAAATTAAGGATTGTATTCAATATTATAGATAATATAAAAGTCATTATCTATGAACTCATCCATGCTTCATTTTTCCTAAGTTCTTTCTATTTTGTGATCTCTTGTTTGCTTAGTACCTTGATAGGTTCTGATATCTCAGTCTTTTTCTGAAAGCCCATAAGGTTTCAGAAAATGTCTTTTTCTTTCAATAAATAAAATAAAAATAATTGAATAACTGAAAATTGCCTTTACTAATGTTTATTTTGCTGTGCTATTGTGGAGACTGACTTCGAATGAATATTAAAATGCCTGCCTGGTATCAACTCTGATACCTTCCCCACATATATGCACATGTTCACGATGGACTAGGCATGGGGGTTAATAATAGTTTTTCTTTAGGTACTATTTTATAACTTGAAATTATATTAACCAACTCAGATATCTAAGCTACTCCCCAGCTGTAAACCTGAGCACTTTTAGAAGCTGTGCTGACTTTCCCAACTCAGTGGGATACACAATCATGAAATTATGCCTCAGGTTTGGACCTGTGGTTTAAAATCATTGATTGGTAATTCATTCATAACTAAGAAATTATAATGCACTTAAAAGACATAAAGTATCTGTCACTTTTATAAAGGTCTGACTTTTTCTTTCTGCTAATACTGTCTGCTTTTTGTTTGTTTCTTGCCTGATTTCTCATGACTAATCAGGAGTACTAGAAGACTTCCTATTAAAAATTGGTTCAGTAATAGAAGGGATTAGCAAAGAGAATTTCATAGCTAGACCTCTATGTTAACCATCTTCCATATAACTTTTTTCAGTAAAGCCTTGAATCGAGGTCGGAAACGTGTTATTTGCTTTACCATCAAAGTAGAGTAATGGTTTGATTTCCTGAAAGACTCAGCAAAGCCAGCTGATGCTGTTCCATGCTAGGAAGCGTGACTGAAAGCCTTCTGAGCTGCCTTTCCCATTACAGGGCTGTATTAATATCTTAGAGCTGCCATGCCGGTGCCTGTTATTGATGACCCAACGTGCAGCCGTGATTTTTCATGTTCTAGTTTATAATTTCTTATGTATGAAGAAAGATGCTAATTTTCTATGATGGCTCTTTAAAAATTACAAGAGATTACTTAATGCCTAGAACCTATTTTCTGCTCTTTGTGACTTCTGTGGCAAAGTCAAAAGGACCAGAATAATTATATGCTATATTTCCATTACATTGATTCACCTTCTAATATTCTTTAGATTTCACAGTCTAAAGTTCAAAGTTAACAATGTAATGTAAGTTACTTGCCTTTGTCAAGTACACCCCCCCAGAACAATAAATGGATATTGCTAAGTAGAAATTATAAAAACACATGTAAACAAATAAAATATTAAGAATCCAAAATAAAATGTAGTTGCGTATTTTTTTTTCCTATCTATCATAGCAGACAGCCTTTACAGAACATTCCAATATTATAGTAATTTCACATTAGGTCTTCCTTGTGGTATGGGCAACATTTTGATCATCATGTAATATGGTGAGAAGTTCTTTATTTTTAACAGTTAACCATTTTCAATAATCACAAGAGAGAAGTGCAAAAATTTACTCTGTGTGCCTTGTAATAACGTTTCTTTCCTCTGATGTCTTTATTACCGGCATCAAAAATGAGAATGATCTATCTTTGTTGACTCTTTTAGAATAAATATTTTTAATGTTTTGTTTATGTTCTAGAAAACACAGATGACTACAGATTTCTTTTAATCATTTTTTAATATTAGCAAGTGAGTGCTAGTAAATACTCTTATCAAAAATAGAATTTATCCTTAATGCTAATGACACTTGTTTTAGTTTCATATTAGCTTACTCAGAAAATACCATGATTTTTAATAATCAAAAATCAAATCGTAAACATTTTTTTCTATGTTTCCCGCCATATAACACTTGAACTCTGAGGGTCAACTCCTTTCATCATTTCTTTTCTCTATATTTGCTGTTTTTCACCTTGCCTTTCTCTTAGCTGAAATATTCATGTCTTACATAAAATGAGGGATTTAGCCACCATGTTTCTCAGTTTCAAAAAATAATCAGTGGCAATAAATTGACTTCTCTCGTGTAACTGTAAAAGAACTTGGATATTTCTCCTCTGTCTGGAGCATTCCCCTTAGCAGTACCCACTGAACGTTTGTCATCCATCAGGGTGATTGCCGTTGCTATGTGAAATCATACAGGAAGTTGTCTGAATAAGGAACCTATTTTTCAAATAATACCGAGGAGGAGACAGACCTAGGGAAAGTGAAAAAAGGTAATGTGTTTTCCTCTCGTGTTCTGCTTGTACCTTTGGGGCGAGTATCTTTTCACTGTCTCTGGTCCTGTAGCCAATGAACCTGGTGATCAAAACAACATAAAATCGGTTTCCTGTTGCCCTTCCTCTTTAGAATGAGCCACGAGCCAGAGCAGATGTACCTGCTAGAAAACAAAGCAGTGAGGCAGCTTTCTGGCTGGACTTGCTCATCTCAGACTCTGCCTATTTTGCATCATGTCCTAAATTGGGTGTTGGTTTTTTTCTTTAAATCATGGGTTTCATTAATCTATATGTTTTTATAGTGAGATAAGCACTGAGCTATGAATTTAGCTAGGTAGAATATTTTGATGAAAGAAAATAGAAATCTAAGGCACAGCAATGTCATGTCCTTTATTCAGTAGAGTTCATTTATCATTCACAATGCGTTAGAGTTGAAATGAAGATAAATTTTCCCACTAAAGCCAGCCTTCAGGGGGGAAAAATAAAATGAACTCCCTACTAATTTTTCTGCTCTATTATCTTATTAATGGTGATTTGTAGAGAATTGCAGAGAAACATTCATACTTTAGGGCAGAATTTCTTAATTGGTTGTGTGAGAAATTAAGATACAGTAGCTGTAAGTGTTTTTTTCTCTCTATAATTTAAAATGCTACATCTGGATTTCAACTCTTTGCAAAAAGTATGCAGAGAATGTAATGTTTATTTACATGAAAAAAAATATAGTTTGTGATAGATATGCTTATGCTAAAGGGCATGTCGTTCAGAAACTTCCTTATGACATAGAATTTTTCTTCTCATTTTTGTGGACCAGAAAGAAGTTATTTGGCCCTTATGTATGCTGTGTATGTCACTTCATCTAGAAGCCTGCACTGTGTTTTAATAAAACAGAATAATATAATGGTCTGAAAACCTAGTTCAAGTTAACAACAACTTTTTACTCCTAAAGTTTCATTTTAGAAAGCACTCAGTTGACTTTTAGTTCTTATTCAGGCTTATAAGACAATTAAAGTGAGAGAAAAAAGCAAAAAGTCATTGTTTTAGGTCTTATAAACACTATTATTTGATCAGCAGCTACTTAGATGATAAGTCAGCGTTTGGAGTCATCTCCCAAATTTGTTGTCAAAAACACACTGTCCCCACCACCTGTCCGTCCTTCAAGTCTTCTGTACCAAATTTTCTGCCCTCTCCCAGAAGGATGTGTGGGTTGCTTTCCAGGGAAGGGCCTGTGTTGCATTCCGTCCAGCTCTGCAGGTGACCAAACCATCAAGCCTCCTAGTTAGCTCGTTTTAGCTTTTTCTTTGAGTTCACTAGGCTGTCACAGTGAATTCCATTCCCCTGCAGTCAGTGTACCACCTCCCACCCCCATAGTGTGTCAGCTACTTTCAGACTTTACATCTCTATAACCCATGCCTGTGAATGAAAATTAACAACCTCTTGATGGTAACCAATTGGGCAATATAAACTGTATATGATGCAAAATAGCCACAGATGCCCCTCAGTGAGGTACATGAGCCAGCAGCTGTCGGGGGTCTCCGTTTCTCTACCCTCTTCCCCTTCTGCTCACAGCCCAGTACACTCTACTAGCAGAGGAAATATATGGCAGAGGAAACAAGAATGCAAAGCATGGCTCAGAAGTTAGAAATAGTTTGACCCATCATTTTTTGGATTGAAAGTCTACTTGAATCAGTAAACACATCTTTATTAAATAATGTTTTCACAGTAATATTAATCTCTTAAAGAAGGGAGATATCAGCTATTGACCTGCAATTTCCACAGTTGTCTAGTACAGTTACCCCGATATCCACAGGTCCCACATGCAAGAAATGGAGGTCCAACTGAGGGACTTGAGCATCCTTGGATTTTAATATCTACAGGTGCTTCTGGAACCAGCACCTCATTGGTACCCAGGAATGGCCGTACTTACAATAAGACCTCTCTATTATGCTAAATTAATTTGGCTCATGAAGATATAAATTGAGATGTGTTCTCTTTGTGCATATTTACCTAAGGTAATAGAGGAAATAGGAATCTATAACAAGTATGATTAAGCCTATTAACCATATATGTATTTATAGAATATCTAGGAATATTTGAAAACACACAGACATATATGTATAATTTGTAAGTAAAATGAAAACCCCCATGGTTCACTGATCCCAATATTCATCTTAAATTAATGAGTCACTTGATCTTGATACCCACGCTCAATTTTAGGTATTTTTCTGACTTTATTATGAGCACTAAATCTAAAGGAGCAATTTTAGTTGGATTTAAATAAGTTTTTCAAGTTTTGGAATTAAATGCAGTATATGTTTTAATTTCTTTAGAGCATGTCTCACCTCCAACTAGTTGGGGCTATTAGTCTTTTATTTTGTTCCTCTACAAAGAAAAGAGCAAGTGAAATACCTTTATTACTTCTTTATTTATGTCCACTAGGGATTATTTTTAACTGAGTTTGTAGTGTCACTTTCTATTCACTCCAGTAATATAAATGATGAAAAACACTGCATGTAATTTCATTTCACAAATGCCTCTAGCTATGTTGTCAACTATTTATTAAAACCAATCATGATATAGAGTCGTCCCCCTCCCCAACATAACACACAGAGTCACTGTCTCCTCTATTCTTTCTTATAATTGGGCATCATTCACTATATAGAAACAGCAGTAGAATGCCTAATTCTTTACTAAGAGGAATTTTTTTTTCTTTTGTTTCTTAAAGACATAGTGTATTGGCTACCACCCATCAAGTGCTTTCTTATTACAATTCCCTCTGTGGACACTTCGGACACATTATCAAACTCTGCAACCTGATTATCATTATCTTTGTGGGAGGCCAGGCTCACAGTGATCCTGCTGCACGTGGTCATCTTCTGTGTAGGTCTTTGGTGATCTCTCGATGCAAGAGTTGAAAGTTAGCTCTTACTTGCATTGTTTGTTTGTCTTGAACTGGATTTCAACATCTTTGGTGGGGTAAGAGGATGCCACTTAAAGCCAAAATGGGACTTGTAATGCCCCGCACTGTTTTGTGAGATGGTATTCAAGCTCCAGAATTTTTGTCATGTGTTGCATTAGAAAAAAAAATTTAACAGATCATGAACCCAATTCCCAGATTCTGCTTTCTAATGCTGTTCTTCAATAAAAGAATGCAGGGCTCCTTGGAGAAATGGCTGATTCTAGAGCAGGGGCAGGGGATATACAAGAAAAGCCTGGCATTTCTTGTAGTGCCAGAAAGTAAGGAGTGCCCCAAATCAAAAGAATGAGAGCAAGTCAAAGCAACACACGAGCCAACTGAGGACACCCAATGGCCAAACCTGAAACAATTTGAGCAACAAAATAGACACGATTTTGTTATATTATTGCATAAAGTATAAAATATCCTTGACTTCCTACTGATATAAACAAATGCATATAAAAATAAATGGGGAGAAAACACAAATCTTTTGTACAGGAGAACACTAAATAATTTTTGTAAGTAACCCCCTCAAGAAAGTACTTTACTCTGCCTACCCCTAACTCCTTCCCTTGTGTGTAGGTTCTATGTACTGACTATCTTCTAAAGAGCAGAGTAAGGAAAGAGGGGAAGTAAATGCAGTGGGAAAACCTGGAAAACTACTACAGCCAAGTGATTATGGTTAGCATCATCTATAAGTCATGTTGATAACATGTACTCTGGATAAAATGTGATGACAATGGCTAAAATACAATTCCCAAACACAAGAAAAACATCATAAAAAAACCCCAAAATTGTGGGAATATAGATTGATACATAGATATGAATATATGTATATATATATATGAGTATATGTAATTAATATGGCAGGAGATTATACATATAAGATTTTTTATGTGTATGTGTAGATGGGATTTTATGTGTGTGTATATCTTTTTATATAATATACATAAGGCATATATAAAGAGATTTATTTAAAGGCATTGGCTCACATAATTATAGGAACTGGCAAGTCCAAAATCAGTAGGGCAGACTGGTAAATGTGAAACTCAGACAAGACTTGATACTATAGTCTTGAGGTAGAATTTCTTCATCCCTGCAAAACCTCAGTTGTGGTGGCATGTAAACCATCATGTCTACAAAACACCTTCACA